TCAGTCTTTTTGGTGAATTTTTCAAGGTCAGAGTTTCTATCTTCTACGTCTGAGATTCGATCTTCTGCATGATCAAATCTGCCTTTAATAATTTCAAGGGAAATTTTGATTTTCTGTACTACAGCCTTCATCTCTAACAATTCATTTGATTCTTTTTTATGGTGTGTATTTCGTCTTTCAGATTGTGCAAGAACTTCCTCACCTCCTGGAACTCGTCTCTTTTCTCCTGCATCTTCTGGAGTTCATTGTCTCTCTTCTCTTGCATTTCTGCTAATTTTGCCACTATGAATATTTTAAATTCTTTATCTGACATTTCCATGACTTCCATTGTATTGTCTGTGCAGGATGAGGAGTTACTCTTTTCCCTTGGGGGAGATACTGTCTTGGCTTCTCATATTTCTCATACCTCTGTGGTGGTTTCTGGTCATCTGATAGATTATATGTTTTTATTCTAATGTTTAGAGTTATATTTGAACATTCAAAGGTGTACAGGGGGATGTGTTCTACAGTGTCTCTGAAGTTCTGTTTTTCTCCCCTTGTGAAGTAGATTCCATGGGAATTGAGGACTACTCTGCCCTTACTAGATCTTGGGGTCAGGAGGATAAAATCTGGGCAGAAAAATCTTCAGTTGTCCTAGCCCCTGAAAGGGGCCACTCAGAGCTCAAATGTAGATGGCTTGTGATTGGCCTGTCCTACTAGATCTTGGGTCAGGAGGGTGAAATCTGAGAAAGCTAAATATTTATCTTTTAAGGTTGTTTTAATTAAGTGCGAGAATGTAAATACTTAGCTCTGTGTTTGGCAATTGAGTGCATAATAGATAGCTGCAATTGCATTTTTTATTGTTGCTTGTTTTTGCTAGAAGGCTTGTGCACTCTCCAGAGACAGAGAGGGAAAGTGAGAAAGCACCTCCATAGAGAATGGTCACACTGTGGTCCCTTCTCATCTATTACCCACCCCTTGGGATTTTGGACACCTGTTGCCAGTCTGCTTCTGAAGGCATGAGGTCTGGGATTTAAACCACAGACAACCACATGGGATCTGGCTGCTTTAACCATCAGGCCACAGAGTCGGCCCAGAAGCTTTTAATACCATAAAATATGTATTTGTCCGAAACCTTGTTACCAATACTGGGTAACATTAGTCAGTTTCATCTTTCTAATATGTGGGAAAAATAATGTATCATTTTAATTTGAAATTTTTGAATGGTTAACATCTTTTCTTATGCTTATTAGATTTTTGTCTTTTTTTATTTCCTTAATTATTTTGCTCTTGGGGCCAGCAGATGGTGTAGCAGTTAAGTCACTAGACTCCCATATGGCCAAAGTTGTGGTTCACGTCCCAAACATGGTGGCTTGAAACTCATGCACCCACCCAAGATCCTTGGAGGAGAATGAAGGAGAAAGGATTGTGGCATGGCCATCCCCCTTGTGGGGAGTGATTTCTCACTTTCTATCTTTTGGTCTCGGTCTCTCTCTCTCTCTCTCTCTCTCTCGCTCCCTCCCTCCCTCCTTCTCTCCTCCCAGCCCTGCAAGGCACATGCCATAGGGCAAAAACCTCTTAAAATAAAATGTGTGCTTCTTTATATTTGATAATTGGTGTTAAGTCTGTCCTAATTTGCAAATGTTTTTCTGTATTTTGTCATTTTCTGTCGAATTTGTTTATGTCACTTTTTGTTTGTGTCTGTAGGGCTAATTTTATAACCCTATAGATTTAAAACAGTATGTGTTTGGGATCAGCAGCTGGCATAATGACTATGTCGCTGGACTCCTATGTAGTCAGCTGTGGTTTGAGTCCCAGACCTGGTGGCTTAAGCTCATGCCGGATGTGTGTGCATATGTTCCCAAAATCCCAAGAGGAGAATGTGGGAGAAGGAATTGCTGCCTGGCCATTTCCCCTGGGGAATGATTTCTCACTTTCTGTCTTTCTGTCTGTCTCTCTCTGATAAGTACATGCACCCTATAGCAAAAACCTCTCAAAAAACAAAAAACAGTAGATGTTTAAGATGGCAAACTCTGCCATTTATTTCCTTTATGATTTTTGACCTTCCAAGCCTTAAGATTATCAAAATAATTAGTATATAATTATTTCTTAATTACCTTTCTTTTTTCTTTATTTTAAAAAGTTTTTCCAGAGCGTACATGCACTTGCCAGAGAGAGACGGAGAGGGAGAAAGTATCCACCAATGGGCCATGGTCACACACAATCCCTTCTCCTCCATTTCTCCATCCTGTCAGGATTTTGGATATGCATTCACATGTGCCTGGCATGTTTTTCAAGCTGCAAGTGCTGGGATTCAAACCACACGGTTGGCCATGTGGGATCCAGCTGCCTTAACTACTAGGCTACAAGCTGGCCCTTTGGTTACATTTCTCACACTAAAATTCGTAATCTGAATTTTTTTGTGTGTGATTAGATGCATTTTTGTCTTCAGATGGTTAGATAGGTACCCCATCCCATTCTTTCACTGATTTGAAAAGCCTCATATATATTTTTTTTAATTTGCCAGAGGGCACATATACTCACAAGAAAGAGAAAGAGAAGGAATATGATAGCTCTCTCCGTGGGGATTGGTCATGTCACAATCCTCTCTCCATTTATTCCTCCTCTTGGGATTTTGGGCGCACACCCACACACACCTGTCATGTTTTTCACGCTACAGGGTCTAGGACTTGAACCAGTTGGTCAGTCTTCTGGGATCCAGCCTCCTTAACCACCACTCCACTGACTGCTCGACCCCTCCCTCTGCCCTTGTTTCCTCTTGTTAGGAGGTATGTGGGCTCACTAGAGAAAGAGGGAGAAGAGAAAATATCCCCCTCCCCCCCATGGGGAACGGTCATGCTATAATCCATTCTCCTCCATTTCTCCCTCCTTTTGGGGTTTGGGGCATGCAGGCACATGTGCCTGGTGTTTTCCTCAAGCCACTGCTTTGGACATAGAAATGTGCTATAAGCCATGTGAGATCCAGCTGTCTTAACCACCAGGCCTTGGAATCAATGTAAATTTCTATATATACCTGGACTATTTGCAAACTGTTTCTGTCAAACTATTTTATAACTCTTATTTCATCTAAAGCAATTTTTTCTTCAACAATCTTTAACACTTTTCCTGACTATTGGTGCATATGTCCTCCTAGAGTACCCCCTCCCTGGTCAAAACAAAATCACATTGAGATTTTTGGTTGATGTTTTCAGATTTTTTAAAACAAATAGTAAATCTTGAATGCACTTTTTAAAAATCTCGTAATCACAGCTTGTCACTTCATTTGAGCCTGTTACTCAAGAAATTTTAAATTTTATATGTGATATTTAGTATAATAGTGTATAAAAGGATATTTTATAAATGTTTTTATGATATGCATTTATCCAAAGGCCAAAATTTTTCACTACTCCAAACTCAAAAGCATACCTACCATTTTCACAATCATAGCAAAATGTTCATTTGTAAAATTTGAATTTACTGATTTTTTTTATTACATTTCCATTACATTTATAAAAAGCAAGCCTATTCTATGTTTATAAGCAAAACATTTAAGGGACACAAAAATGGAAAATTATCTGTTGATAATGAGTATTATAATATCTTTAACTGGACTAATATGCAGTGTATTCATGCTGGGAAAATTCATTCTGCATGCTGTAATGATATACAGGGATTGAATGTATTAAAAAAATTCAAAGTAATTTTTTTTTGAGAAGTTTTCACTATAAAGCGCGTATGCTCGCCAGACAGAGAGAGAGAGACAGAGACAGAAAGCGAGAAATCACCCCCCAGAGGGGATGGTCACACCGCAATCCCTTCTCCTCCATTCTCCTCTCGGGATCTTGGGCACGCATGCACACATGCCTGGCGTGAGTTTTAAGCCACCGGGTCCGGTACACGAACCGCGGTCGACTACGTGGGAGTCCAGCGACATAGCCATTACACCAACTGCTGGTTCCCTAAAGTAATTTTTTTACAATGTGGACTCATCTAAAATTCTTTGTTTACATTAGATATTATCATTAGTTCTGCTCATTTCAGTTCCTTTAGTTATTAGTTTATTTTTGTTAAGGTAGTGTTCCTCTCATTTGTTCACAAGCTTTTAGAGAAAAAATGGAGAGCCAGAACCATTAAGATCTTTTTTTTAAAATTAGATACCTGTTAATTAAATTTTAGAAACTATTTAATTCACATACCACAAACCAGAACTCCATTTTCAGGTTTTTGTAAATTTATTGTTATCAACTAAGCCTCTTAAAATTAATATACCCAGGGAACCAGCAATTAGCGTAATGGCTATGTCGCTGGACTCCCACGTAGTCGACCGCAGTTCGAGTCCCGGACCCGGTGGCTTAAAATTCACTCCGGGTGCATGTGCGTGCGTGCCCAAGATCCCGAGAGGAGAATGGAGGAGAAGGGATTGCGGAGTGACCATCCACCCTGAGGGGTGATTTCTCGCTTTCTGTCTCTCTGTCTCTCTCTGTCTGTCTGGCGAGCGCAGGTGCCCTATAGCGAAAACCTCCCCCCCCCCAAAAAAAATTAATATACCCACACCACTGACTCAGTTACAGTGAAACCAAATATACAAAAAGGCTTTAAATCATTTGTATAACCCTTCAGTAACTATGTATAGCCTTTTGATGTAAATGGGCATTGTGTTACTCATTTATAGAGAAAATTGAGGCTTTGAAAATTAATGCCATACAGTAGGAAGGAAATTAATATTTTAACTACCAAATGAACCGAGTACTTTACCTGATAAAGTCAATGATTACTTGACAATAAATTAGTTCAAGCCATTGGTACATTATATAACCAGATTGTGTTTCCATATTCCAGTTCCTCCTGTTTGGGTTTTTCTGTACTTTCTTATTAAATGGCAATTATTTGCTCAACTTTTACATAGTCAGAATGCCCTATATCCTGCTTTATGTCATTGAATAATGACTTTTCCCAGCTGCTAAGGTATTATGGTTGATTATAATGAATGATCTTGAAAATTTTTTTTGTTTATTTTTTAGATTCCTGAATTTGCCAACTTGTACCTAGATATGAATGGAATTATACATCAGTGCTCCCATCCTAATGATGACGACGTTCACTTCAGAATTTCAGATGATAAAATCTTTACTGACATTTTTCATTACTTGGAGGTGTTGTTTCGCATTATTAAACCTAGGAAAGTGTTCTTTATGGCTGTTGATGGTGTGGCTCCTCGAGCAAAAATGAACCAGCAGCGTGGGAGGCGTTTTAGGTAAACTATTTTTGGTTTATTTCTAATATTATTTAGGTTACATTATTTTTTTAAAATAATTGACTTAACACAATGAATTTTTCTATTCATATTTATTTTCTGCTTAAATTCCCCCTGAAGTGGGAGTATCTTTTACTTGTCATATTTTCCACTCAAATAAAAATGTAGTAATGAAAGTGTCATTTCCAAAGCATACTTGGGTTTTATATAAAGGCACTCTGTTGTTCTCTATCGCGAGTTTTTCACACTTCTTGTTGATAATTTGAAAGAAGCCGGGAAAGCTCCTAGAGTAATCTACCCTGGGACGATAACTGCAGACTGAACTGATTGTTCCAATGCGAACACTACTAACATTTACTTCAACAAATAGTTATTCAATGCCTAGACCCTGGGCTACATGATAATTTTGGGTGAACATGGTCCAAATTGGACAGAAAGACAGATGAGAATAGAAGGTTGATGATGAACAATAGGAAAAGAACTGAGTTAAGACACGTGGGGATTATCAGCACCACTGTAAGTCTGTGGTACAAGAACTAAAAGGATAAGAGGGGATTGTACATAGAGGATTTTGATGTCAAAGCCCTAGCCACCTGAAGAATTTCTAAGTCATAGTTAAATCAGGATGTATCCCTATTTATGGGCAGCAGTAGTAAAGTTTAGAAGGTTGTTAGCGGGGCCAGCAGGTGGCATCGTGGTTAATGTGCTGAGACTCCCACATGGCCAACCATGATTTGAGTACCAGACCTGGCAGCTTGGTTTCTCACTTTCCCTTCCTCCCTTTGGTCAGATTAATAATGATAATACTTAATGTACTATTGGATAAAATAATTATTGAGAAAAATAAAGAAGAAGGTTGTTAAGAGTTAGGCACAGTGGTACACATCTATAATCCCAGCTACTCAAGAAGCTGAGGCAGGAGGATTGTGAGTTTGAGGCAATCTGGGCAACAGAATGAGAGCCTGTATAAAAAGCTATTAATAATAGAAAGAAGCTATACGGCCAGCAAGCTGCCAGGTCTGGTACTCAAATCATGGCATGATTTCCAAGCCAGCAGATCTAGGACTTGAATTGTGGTCAGCCATGTGGGAGTCCAGTGCTGTAACCACTATGTCACCTATGGCCCCTACATTATAATCTTATAATTAGATTTTTGTGTAATACTCTTTAAAGAATATTATATGGTATTATGCAGTAACATTTAAGATAGTTTTTTTAGAATTATTTAATTTATTAATTATTTATTTATTATTTTGCTAGAGAAAGACAGAGAGGAAAAATGAGAAAGCAAGCTGCCAGGTCTGGGACTCAAACTGTGGTTAAACATGTGGGAATTCCAGCACCTTAACCATCACACCACCTGCTGGTCCTACATTTAAGATCATTGAGTATTTAAGATCATTAAATGATACTATCATTAAATTCAATTTATATATGAATGTTTAAAATTATTGTTTTGGGGGCCAGCAGGTGGCATGATGGTTAAGGCGCTGCATTCCTACCTGGTCACCCGTGGTTCAAGTCCCGAACCTGGCACCTCATTTTCTCTCTCTCTCTCTCGTGAGCATGCATGTCCTATAGCAAATTTTAAAATAATAGTAAATAAAATTAAAATAAATAATTCTTTCCAAAATACTATTGTTCTGAGATTGCTTCTAAAATGTATTTGGTTTATATTTGCAATAAAAATTACTTTATAAATATAATGTTCTACATGAGTTTTTCACTGTTATAATATCCTATTTCTATAGTCCTTACCTGAAAATTTCAATTCTTTAAATAAATGAAAATGAACAATGCTGAGGTTCATCTCTATCATTTTTGATCATTTCAACATGTATGTATTTTGAACCTTAAATTGATGAATTAGTATTTTAGTTTTAAAAGCATCAAAAAAAAAAAAAGCATCAAAATAACAGTTTAAATAAATGTATTTACTTTTTTTCAAAAAATTTAAGATTTTTTCCCCCTTAACCTTTAAGGTCAGCAAAGGAGGCAGAAGACAAAATAAAAAAGGCAATAGAAAAGGGAGAAATTCTTCCTGCAGAGGCCAGATTTGATTCCAACTGTATTACACCAGGTAATTCACTAAGAGACATATTCTTAGAGGATTAAAATGTAAATTTAAAACTTACTTTTTCAAATGTATTTTTATTTCTTAGGCTTTGTTTATTTTGGTCTTATGATTTTATTTGTTTTTTTTCCCACTTGTGCCTGTGAGGTGGTTTGGTCACCTTGGTATTAAGTGCTTCTCACTTCTATAAAGAGCTACTGCGAGGCTTTTCAAATGTGGAGAAGAGCAAATATGAATAGGACTCTCAGATACATAGAACTGTAGATCCAGAAGGAACTTACAAGATCTTTCAGTCCTATTCTCATTTATTGGCATGAAAACAAACCCAGTGAGGCTGTGGCTTACCAAGTTCATATAGTTAGCTTGTGCTGTTCAGGGTAAAAATATCTCATTCTCCTAGTCCAGAACACTTACTCAAAAGTTAAGATTTTTGTGACTTTAAAGAAAATTATATTTTTAATATTATATCTAACCTGATTTACTTCTCTGCTCCTAGAAACTTCATCTAAATCATATTAAGACTCTACTTAAAATCTCACTTTCTTATGAATTCTTTACTAACCGTGGTGATTTTCTTATCTTAAATGCCTCAGTCACACAACGACCAGTTAATAACCAGTTTTATTCTGATTGTGGTTTAAGACTGTCTTATCGGGAAGTGACCAAAATTGCGACCAGCCGCTACCAGTGGTTTCTTAAGCTCAGTGAGGAATGGCCCGTGGACGAGACCAAATGGGGACTGGACTTGGGCACTTACCTGCGGCAGCGGGTAGGATAGGCCTTTCGGGAGGGAGAAAACACCCAGATTGCAGAGCCTGAGGCCTGTGATCATATGTACCAGAATTTAACACGACTCCATTCAAACTACTACAAACACAAGTACCCTCGCCCCAGACACTAGCTTCAGTGGCCTGTCCATGAAAGAGTACAAGCTGATCCTGTCCACAGACACCTTGGAAGAGTTTAAGGAAATGAATAAAGGCATGTGGAAGAAACTGCAGGAGAAGTTTGCCTCCAAGTGTCCTGAAGAGAAGCATAAGGCCTGGGCCCAGTCCTTATCTCGTCCACGTACCTAAGTATGGAGCCTCAGATGTGGCCATCTGCAACAAAACCAGTGATTTCTCTCAGAAAAAAAAAAAAAAAGACTGAATTATCGGGACCAGCAGAAAAAAAACAGGGCTATGTTGCTGTACTCCCATGTAGTCGACCACGGTTCGAGTCCTGAACCCAGTAGGTTAAACTCACGCCGGGCGTGTGTGTGTGCGTGCCCAAGATCCTGAGAGGAGAATGAAGGAAAGGGATTGCAGCGTGACCATCCTCCCTGGGGGTGATTTCTTGCTTTCTGTCTCTGTCTCTCTCTGTCTTTCTGGGGAGCACATGTACCCTATAGCAAAAACCTCTCCAAAAAAAAGAAAAAAAAAAGACTGTATTATCTTTTCTTATTGATTCTTGGCTTTCTCTAAACATAATCTTTGTAGACTCAGTTCCCAGATGAATAATAATTTTTCAGACTGATAATAGTAATGATAGTTGTTGTTATTGGCAATCTAATTGAAGCTGCATGCCTCTTTTTTTTTTCTTTTTTACCTTTTTCCTTTTTTTTTTTCTTTTCTTTTTTTTTTTTTTGGAGAGATTTTTGCTATAGGGCGCGTGCGCTCGCCAGACAGACAGAGACATAGAGACAGAAAGCGAGGAATCACCCCCCAGGGGGGATAGTCACGCTGCAATCCCTTCTCCATTCTCCTCTCGGGATCTTGGGCACGCACGCACACATGCCCGGCGTGAGTTTTAAGCCACCAGGTCTGGAACACGAACCATGGTCGACTACGTGGGAGTCCAGCGACATAGCCATTATGCCAACTGCTGGTTCCCTGCATGCCTCTTTTTATAAAACTTCAAAATGCAGCAGAAGAAATAGAGGGTTGAGCCTCATTAAGAGCTCAAACTCTGCTCTTACATAAAAATACTAGAAACACAGTATTGAAACAATAGTAAAATTCCTTGACTTTCCCTATGTGATATTGACTATATTTCCAGTGACTTGGTAACATTAGAAACAGGTACAACTAGGGGCTGGCAGATAGCATGATGGTTAGGGGTGCTGGACTCCCACATGGCCGACCACGGTTTGAGTCCTTAACCTGGTGGTTTGCTTTCTCACTTTGTCTCTCTTTCTCTCTCACTCTGTTCCTTTCTGGTCAAATTAAAATAAATAAATAAATAAACAAACATATATATATATATATATATACACACACACACACACACACACACACACACATATATATATAAAGTTAAATAAAATAATTCTTGAAAAAATTTAGAAAGAAATAGTTGCAATAATAGCTTAATAGCTAAGGGAAGGTACAACGTTATTTGCTTTTTTTTTTTTTTTTTTTTTTTTTGCTATAGAGCGCGTGCACTCACCAGACAGAGAGAGACAGAAAGCGAGAAATCAGTCCCCAAGGGGGATGGCCATGCTGCGATCCCTTCTCCTCCATTCTCCTCTCGGGATTTTGGGCACGCACGCACACGCGCCCGGCATGAGTTTAATCCACTGGGTCCAGGACGCAAACCATGGTCGACTACATGGGAGTCCAACGACATAGCCATTACACTAACTGCTGGTCCCCGTTATTTACTTTTAAGATAACCATGAGAGCTTTGGTCGTTGGAGATCCAGTTCCTAGCTAGTCACTGGACACCCACATCCAATTACATATTGTCTCTGGGAACTCACTGATTTTATATTTTTCTCAGATTAACAGTTTTAAAACTTTTTATTTATAGGGACTGAATTCATGGCCAGGTTACATGAACATCTGAAGTATTTTGTAAATATGAAAATTTCCACAGACAAGTCCTGGCAAGGAGTTACCATCTACTTCTCAGGCCATGAGGTTAATTCCTTTCTTTATTTAAAGAGTTTTTAAAAATTTACTTAATATCCTGAAGCATAGCAAATTACACATTATTTTTAACACATTTTATTAGACTCCTGGAGAAGGAGAGCATAAAATCATGGAATTTATCAGATCAGAGAAAGCAAAACCAGATCATGATCCAAACACCAGACATTGTCTTTATGGTTTAGATGCTGATTTGGTAAGTATACTGTTTATTGTTATTGTAACTTTATACTTTGTAGGTAAATATCTAAGAGATTTCATTTTATACAGGAAGCTTATTGTTTATGTCAACAAATATTGGAGACATAATAATGATTTCTACTTTTGTCATTACCAACATTCTAAAACAACTGGAAAATGAGCTTTCTTTTTCTTTTTTTTTTTTTAACCATAGTATATGATCAGCAAATGACTAACCTTAGGGCTATAACTACTTTGCTAAGATTAGATAATAGGACCCTTTTTACTCTCTGGCTTAATACATGACTTTTAACACTTAAGATCCAACAAGTCCATGCTCCAAATATCTTTACTAGATTTTGTTGTTTTAACTTTTTATTATAGAAAATTTTAAAGCATAAACAAAAGTAGATAAGACAATATAATAAACTTCCTGTACCATTCATCTCCTTTAAATAATTTTTAACTTCTATCCCTGATCATATGTCTTCTCACTCTCATACTCCCATGAATTATTTTTCTATGAATTTTTTATTATCATAATCTTGTTTATATTACATTGAATCACATATACCTTTACAATCTATTACATTTCTTTTTCCAGAAGGAATATCTTGAATATCAGTCAAGATAAAGATATTACTATCCATATCATCATCATCAAATAGCTTTTCATCATTTTTTTCAGATTTATTACTATTATTGTTCTCATTATTTTTTTAAACAATCACTAAGCAAATCTCAGACATTATATAATTTAGTCTATACATGTTTCATAGTGTTTTTAAAGGAGAAGAACTTTTATTTAATATGTATGCAATGCAGAGATTCCACATAAAACAAAATTTAACAATCATTACTTAATACATAAATAACCAGCTAGTATTATTGCTTGATAAATGTTTTATTTTGTCTTATTATTTGAATTAGGACTGAAATAAAATGAAAAATATGCATTACAATTGATTAGTATGTCTCACTGAACTTGATTTATTTTTGAATTTAGAATACTATGTGAAAAAAATAACTGAAGTGCCCTTTTCTATTTTTTTTCTGAGTTTTCATATACTGGAAGTATGCTAGCCTCTGAAAGAATCCTACATTCTTTAATCATGGAGAAGCTGTTCCCTCTAATTTCTAACCCAGTCCCCCTTGGCAAGTAGAAGTATGTAAGAACTGAGGGAATGTTTTTGGTATTTTGATCACGGAGTCAGGTTAAGAATTGTAAAGGTTATGTGAATGTAAGGAAATGGTTTTTTTAGAAATATGCATTCACTTTATCCCATTCATAACCATACAAATGGATCATATTTTGATATTTGTATATTTAATGTTACATTTGTTACGTTATTCTCTTTATTTAAAAATGTTATTTATTTAGTGGGTTTTGTGAATCCCATACTGTAAGAAATAAGAGAATAAAAATACGTCAATCATTTTTCAACAGATTATGCTTGGATTAACAAGTCATGAGGCACATTTTTCACTCTTAAGAGAAGAAGTTCGATTTGGTGGCAAAAAAACACAAAGGTAAGCCATACAACCATGTTTTATTAAAGAGACAGAAAACAGCCCTGCCTAATTAATTAACAGATATATGATCTGAAAATATTTTTTCTCATTCCATGGGTTGCCTTTTCACTTTTTGCATATGGATATCCAGTTTTCCCAGCACCATTTATTGAAGACTATCCTTTTCCCACTGTCTTGGCACCATAAATGGTCAGATACTTTTTTTGGTCAGAAAAAAAAATGTGAAGTTTTATTTCTAGGTTTTCTGTTCTAATTTCATCAGTCTGTACTTTTTGCCAATGCCAGTGTTTTCATTATGGTAGATTTGTAGTGAGTTTTAGAATCAGGAAGGGTAATATCTCTAAATTTATTCTTTTTTTTTTTTTTGAAGAGGTTTATTTTGCTGTAGGGTGCGTGCGCTCACCAGACAGACAGAGAGAGATAGAGAAACAGAAAGCGAGAAATCACTCCCCAGAGGGGATGACCATGCCGCAGTCCCTTCTTCTCCATTCTCCTCTCGGGATCTTGGGCACACACACACACGTGCCCGGCGTGAGTTTTAAGCCACCGGGTCCGGGACACAAACCGCGGTCGACTACGTGGGTGTCCAGCGACATACCCATTACGCTAACTGCTGGTCCCTCTAAATTTTTTTTTTTCACTTGTTTTGGCTGTTAGTGGCCTTCAGAAATTTTAAGATTCTTAGAATAGATTTTCCTATTTTCATAAAAAACATCACTGGGATTTTGATAAAGATGACATTGAATCTGTAGATCCCTTTGGGTAGAATTTACATCTTGATATTAAATCTTCCTATCCAGGAACACAGGATTTCATGTCATTCATTGTATCTTCTTTAATTTATTTCAGCAACAGCAGGATTTATACTTTTCAGTGTACAAGTCTTTTGGCTCCTTGGTTAAATTTATTCCTCAATATTTTATTTTTTTAAATGTTATTATAAATGGAATAGTTTTCTTAATTTTCTTGTGGTGTTGTTTTTTGGTATATAGAGACACGACTGACTTTCACATGCTCTGCAGGTATACTGAATTTGTATTTTTTTATTTTTTGGCAGGGGGGAAGGTTTTTGCTGTAGGGCGTGTGCACTCACCAGAAAGACAGAGAGAGACAGAAAGCGAGAAATCACCCCCCATGGGGGGATGGCCACGCTGCAGTTCTTTTTCCATTCTCCTCTCGGGATCATGGGAACACACGCACAAATGCCCAGCGTGAGTTTAAGCCACAGGGTACAGAACCCGAACCATGGCCGACTACATGGGAGTCCAGCGACATAGCCATTACGCCAACTGTTGGTCCCCTGAATTTGTATTTTTTAAGAATTGTTTAATTTTTGATTTATCATTTTTATATTTATTTTTTATTTGCTACAAGGCACATACACTCACCAGAGAGAGATGAGGGGGTGGGTGGTAAGATAGGGGAGAGCAAGGAAAGTGTTAAAGCTTTTTCTTTTCTGCTTTTTCTCTTCTGTAGATTCTTTGGAATTTTCTATACATGGAATCATGCCATTTATAAATAGATAGTTTTGTTTCTTCCTTTCCAATTCAGATGCCTTTGTTTCTTTTTCTTGCCTAATTACTCTAGCAAAGGCTTTTAGAACAATGTTAAATAGCTGTAGTAAAATAGGTATCCTCTTATTCCTAAACTTAGAGAAGGAAAGCTTTCAGTTCTTTACTGTTAAACATGATGTTAGCTATAGATTTTCGTAAATACTCCTCATCCTACTAAGGACTTCCTTCCTATTCCTAGTTTGCTGAGTATTTTATCCTGAAAGATCAAATGCTTTTTCTGCAAAATGACCATGAGGGATTTTTCCCCCAAACCCCCACTTAATTCTTGTAATGTGATACATTACATTTATTGATGTTTTTTTATTGAACTACCCTTGCATTCGTGGGATAGATTCCACTTGTGCATTGAATACAGTCCTTTTCCTGTGCTATTGTTCACTTATATTCTTATTTGTTCAACTTGTATATAGGTCAGTAGCTGGAAAAAATATTTTTCTTGAGAGGTTTTTGCTGTAGGGCACATGTGCTCACCAGAAAGAGAGAGAGAGAGGCAGAGACATAGAAAGCGAGAAATCACCCACCAGGGCAGATGGCCACGCCGCAATCCCTTCTCCTCCTTTCTCCTCTCGGGATCTTGGGCACACACGCACACGCGCCTGGCGTGAGTTTTAAGCTACCAGGTCTGGGACGCGAACTGCGGTCGACTACATGGGAGTTCAACAACATAGCCATTACGCTAACTGCTGGTCCAGATAGCTGGAAATACTGAGCCCTATAGTCAATCCTAGGAAAGATAAGAAAAAAATGTGATATTGCCTCACCATTATAGACTTGGACTATATTGCAGTAGATATAAAAGAACAATATATACTCACACGTGTATATATTTTCCCTTGACAGCCAGGCTTAAATGAGCCAAATTTCTGTGTGTGTGTGTGTGTGTTTGTGTTGATATTACACATATGTTCATGTGAAAGAAAGAGAAAGCACCCTCCAACAGGGCCTAGTCATGCCATAATTTTTTTCCCCTCCATTTCTCTATCCTGTCACAATCTTAGACACATGTATTAGCTCAGCATGTTTTTCAAGCCACCAGAGGGGGGATTTAATCATGATCAGTCATGTGAGATCCAGCTCCCTTTGTACAATCACTGAGCTATAGAGCTAGTCCTCCCATATTATTTAGGACTTTTTAATTCAGACAATTGTTTCATACTAAGCATAACGTACTTTGACCTTTGTCATGCTTTATATGTTATAATTTGCCATTATATTTTAACTTTATATTACCTTACAACTTCCATTATTCATATGTAAATTACATGCCTTAATTATAAGACTTAATTGTGTTCTGATAATGATTTTGATTTAAGCTTTATTATATTTTTGCCATAGGGTAGGCGCCACCACGCCCCAAGCTTTATTATATTTTTAAACTTGAACCTTAAAAATATAATTCACTCTATCTCAATCATCTCACTTAATTACAGAGTATGTGCACCAGAAGAAACTACATTCCACCTCCTACACTTGTCTTTAATGAGAGAGTATATTGACTATGAGTTTTCAGCATTAAAAGTAAGTATTAAAGCAACATGAACCAAGAGTTTATATTAGAAATTTCCATAGGATTTGACTTTATTCTTCATTTTACCATAGGAAAAGATCACATTTAAATATGATATTGAAAGAATAATAGATGATTGGATTTTGATGGGATTTCTTGTTGGCAATGATTTTATCCCTCATCTACCTCATTTACATATTAATCATGATGCTTTGCCTCTTCTTTATGGAACATATATCACCATCCTACCAGAACTTGGGGGTAAGATAATTTTTAATAGTCATTTGAGTCTAATGTAGCTCCAACGTACTCTAAAATGTTATTCAATTATTAGATGATTGCATGCACGAGGAAAACAGCGGGGGTTTCTTTTGGTCTAATATGCCAACCCCTGAAGTGGTCACTTTCAGTGATTTACAAGGAAAGAAAGTGACCAGAATTAAATAACCTCACCTATTGATACCAAATAAATTGCACCTTTCTTTCAAAATGAGAAAGAGGAGGAAAGATGGCAAGATGGCCATGTTGCACTCCACCTGCTCCAGCCCCTCAGTGAGCTGGGATTATAGATGCATGCCACCACACTTGGCCTCCTTATAGGTTGATCTGTGCATCAGCCTGTGTTTCCCTCTGGCTCCTGCCTCATGCAGAGTAACCCTGCCACCTGCGCTACTACAACTGGGTCTTTGCTTTTAGATCCTTAAAAAAGCCAGCAGAAATTGTGGGTTCACTTAATTCCTTTCCTATTTAAATGTATAAATCCAGTTTTTCTGGATAGATATGCATCAGAGTATTTAATATGAAGGAACAATTTTTCACTTAAAACATAAAGTTGACCAACCATGGTGCCCACTAGAACAGACCACGGAGTAACAGGACAGTAGTCTTCTTAACATATTGGGTTCAATGGTCTATATAGGTCCTAGGACACATTTAATATAATTGTTACCAAATGACTTTGGAAATGTGGAGGGGTTATTGTGTGAACTTGAAATTTCTTAGATTTTGCTTTAGTAATTGATACATTGTGTGATAGTGCAGTACATAAAGTTCATAGAAACTAGGCCTGGTTTATAGCCCAAAACTGAATTTTTTATTGATTATTAAAATGTTAACAGTCAACATTTGTTCAAAGAATTTTGCAAAAATTGTTTAGAAAAAAATGTCAACTTTTAGTACAAATTTAGACTTTGTTCTTTTTAGGTTATATCAATGAAAGTGGGCATCTCAATTTACCTCGATTTGAGAAGTACCTTGTGAAACTATCAGATGTAAGTAACTAGAAGGTTTTGTTTTCCTTTCCCAGGGTAGCTGCAAATGATCAGTAACCAATTAACTTTTTAAAAATTTTACCAGAGAGCTCATGAACTTGCTAGAGAAATACAGCCAGAGAGAGGGAATAAGAAAGCACCCACCAGTGGAGTGTGATCATGGTCTATCTAATCCCTATTTCTTCTTCCCGGGAGGAGATGGGGCATGCATGCACATGTGCCTGATGTATTTTTTACAAAGCCAGAGCCAGGATTCAAACCACACAGTTGACCATGTGGCATCCAGCTCCCTTAACCACCAAGCCGTGAAGCCAACTTAATCAGTAATCAATCGTATGGTACCAGAAGGAAAGGGTTTATAATTGTATTCTAGTTGCTTATCCTATTATCATTTCACCTAAATTTATTTTTGTTTGCTTTTTATTTTTAGTGTTTAGAATAAAAGATAAGGTTCTCCATGTGTATAAAGAAGTAACATTCTCCAGTTTCTTATGTTCTAGAAGTAGTCACTATTAACAATTTGGTTTATATTTTTCCAGATAAACTTAAATGATTTTTTAACTGAATTTAAATATTTCTCTATAGTTTGATCGAGAGCACTTCAGTGAAGTTTTTGTGGACCTAAAGTGGTTTGAAAGCAAAGTTGGTAATAAGTACCTCAACGAAGCAGCAGGTGTTGCAGCAGAAGAAGCAAAGAACTACAAGGAAAAGAAAAAATTAAAGGTGTCTGTTTTTTAGATGTCATTTCATTTTTTTAGCTGTAAAGGTAAAACTGGTATGCCTTGTTTCTCATTTTCTTTCTTACCATTTTGATGTTGTCTCATTTCATTTTTATTTCTTCTTCTCTATAGGTATTTTCAAATTTGTTAAATTTCTATTTCTCTATTACATTCTGTCATTTAAATCTGATCTTTAAAAATCAGAGGTTAAGGAACCAGCAGATTGCATAGTGATTACTTTGTTGGACTCACATGTAATTAGCCATGGTTTGAGTCCTAGACCCGGTGGCTTAAAACTCATGCTGGGCATGGGTGTGTGCGTGCCCAAGATCCCAAGAGGAGAATGGAGGAGAAGGGATTGAGGCTTTTAGCCCCACTGGGTCATGATTTCGTGCTTTCTGTCTCTGTCTCTCTGGCAAGCACATATGCCCTATAGCAAAAATCTCTCTCTAAAGAAAAAGTACAAGTATAAAAAGAAAAAAAAAATCCAATAAAACAGAGGTTAAGGGGCCAGCAGGTGGTGTGGTTAAGGCGCTGAACTCCTATGTGGCTGGCCCGTTTGAGGCCTGGACCCCCAGAGGCTTGAAACTTGGGCTGGGCATGTGTGTGTGTGTGTGTGTGTGTGTGTGTGGTGTGTGCGTGTGCCCAAAATCCCAGGAAGAGAATGGAGGAGAGGCCCATATGCCCTGTAGCAAAAAAAATTAATGATGATAATAAATAAAATTAAGTAAAATAATTCTTTTTTTTTTTTTTTTGAGAGGTTTTCACTATAGGGCGCGTGCACTCGCCAGACAGAGAGAGACAGAGAGACAGAAAGTGAGAAATCACCCCCAGGGGGGATGGTCACGCCGCAATCCCTTTTCCTCCATTCTCCTCTCGGGATCTTGGGCACGCACGCACACACGCCCGGCATGAGTTTTAAGCCGCCGGGTCCGGGACTCGAACCACGGTTGACTACGTGGGAGTCCAGTGACATAGCCATTATGCTAACTGCTGGTCCCTAAAATAATTCTTAAAAAAAAAATTCAGAAGTTAGGTTAGCTGAATCCCACATGGCTGACTTCACAGTTCAAGTCCCCAACCTGGTGGCTTGAAAAACATTTCAGGTGCATGTGCATACGTGCCCAAAACCCCTATGGGAAGAGTGGAGTAGAAGATTTGCAGTTTGGCCATTCCCTGTGGCAGGTGTTTTCTCACTTTCCCCCCTTTCTCTCACAGTCTCTTTCTCTAGCTCTCTCTGGTAAGCACATGAGCCCTACAGCAAAGTTAAAAAAAAAAAAAATCTTAATTTCCTGTTTTACCCTTGAGGAAAAGTATGGAAAACATTTTTAAACATAGACCAGAAAACTAGTTATCTTTCAAAAACAATTCTGTTGTTTCATCCATTTTGTGCTACTATAACCAAATATCTGAGACTGGGTAATTTTAAGAACAGAAACTTGGGACCAGCAGTTAGCATAATGGCTATGTCGCTGGACTCCCACGTAGTCGACCGTGGTTTGTGTTCCGGACACCGTGGCTTTAAAAACAACGCCGCGGTGCATGCATGCCCATCCCAAGAGGAGAATGGAGGAGAAGGGATTGCGGCATGGCCATCCCCCCGGGGGGTGATTTCTCGCCTTCTGTCTCTCTGTCTCTCTCTGTCTCTCTGGCGAACGCACGCGCCCTATAGCAAAAACCTCTCAAAAAAAAATAAATAAATAAAAAGAACAGAGACTTACCTCTTCCTTTTATGGAGGATGGTAAATCTAAGGTCAAGGGGCCCATATCTGGCATAAGCCTACTTGCTGCATCCCATGGCAGAAGACGAACACAAGCTAGAGAGGGAGAGAGAGAGTGTGTAAGATAGCAAGAAAGGGGCTGAACTTGATTTAATAGCAAACCCATTTTTGAGATAAGGGATCCACTCAAATGACATTACGCATTCATGAAAGTGGAGACCTTATGACCTAATCACCTCTGTTAGAGCCTCTACCTCTCAACAAACTGTTTCATTGGTGATTAACTACAACACATGAACTTTGAGGGACTCGTTCAAGCCATAGCTTGTTTAAAACGTGTTATTGGGATCAGCAGATGGCATAATGGCTACGTCGCTGGACTCCCTTGTAGTCAAACACGGGGTGGCTTAAGCTCACGCCCAGCGTGTGTGCGTGCGTGCCCGAGATCCCAAGAGGAGAATGGAGGAGAAGGGATTGTGGCATGGCCATCCCCTCGTGGAGAGTGGCTTCCTGCTTTCTGTCTCTCTGTCTCTCTGGCGAGTACACACGCCCTATAGCAAAAACCTCTCAAAAAAAAAAAAAGAAAAAAGAAAACATGTTATTTAAAGACAAATGTTATAAAAATATATATGTTATAGAACTTAATGTTAACTAAGCAAGTTTCCTCTAGAAATGATCTATATATAAAATCATGCTAAATACAGCAATAGACTAAGAGTAATTAATAGCACAATATCTAGTAAATGTTATGTGCTTAATAAATGAATATTCAGTTAGAATATGCTAGTACCGTTAAATATCTCTAATAAGTTCTCTTTTTTAAAAAATTTTTTATTTATTTATTTATTATTATTATTTTTTTAGAGGTTTTTGCTATAGGGTGCGTGCGCTCGCCAGACAGACAAAGACAGAGAGACAGAGAGCGAGAAATCAGCCCCCAGAGGGGATGACCACGCCACAATCCCTTCTCCTCCATTCTCCTCCCAGGATCTTGGGCATGCATGCACACGCGCCCGGTGTGAGTTTTAAGCCACTGGATCCGGGACTTGAACCGCGGTAGACTATGTGGGAGTCCAGCGACATAGCCATTATGCTAACTGCTGGTCCCGATATCTCTAATAAGTTCTAAAGAATATCTTACTTTTGTTAGCTTACAAAAATAAACAAACCCCTTCTGAAATTTTCCTCAGCCAAGCCATAATTATTTGATTATGACTCTTCTGCACTCTCCTTACTGTACTAGTTTTGTTTAGATTCAAACCTAATAACTCTTGCTTCAGAAGAAGCAATTATCTTGATATTATTTAATGTAGTTATGCTAATTATTTAACTCTTCCTCATTGGAATTCAGCAACCAATCAGTCTGCCTGCCACTGTTTTTTTCTCTCAAAAAAAAAAATAGACTTTGCTACATTTGTGAACCTGTATGTATAAAACTTACATATCATTAATCCTTGACTCTCCTGCCTCAGCTCATTCCTTAAACTTTACCAGTCTTCCAGGCATATATGGTTGACGTTAGAGACACTGCATCTAACACGTGTTAGACACTGCATCTAACACGAATAGCCCAGGCCCCAGGTTAGATAAAGAAAACAAAATGGGGATAAGAGAGTAGGAAGAACTATTGGGAATCATTGGCAGTAGATCAGCAATCAGAAAATAGGAAAGGATTGAGATCACCAGGGAGGAAGAACTGATGGGCAGGATATGAATGATGTGATAAGATGGAAGAATTATAGAAAAGCAAATTGGTTATGTGGAAGGAAAAATGAAGAAATGGAAGGCAGATATCAGAGTCTTAAGAATAATGGAATCAGGGACCAGGAGTTGGCGTAACGGCTATGTCACTGGACTCCCATGTAGTCGACTGCAGTTTGGGTCCTAGCCCCGGTGGCTTAAACTCATGCTGGGTGCATGGGCATGCGTGCCCAAGATCCTGAGAGGAGAATGGAGTAGAAGGGATTGTGGCGTGGCCATCCCCCCTGAGGAGTGATTTCTCACTTTCTGACTCTCTCTCTCTCTCTCTCTCTCTCTCTCTGTGTCTTTCTGGGGAGCACAAGTGCCCTATAGCAAAAACCTCTCAAAAAAAAAAAAAAAGAAGAAGAATGGAATCCTTGGGGTCAGCAAGTGGTATGGTATTTAAGGCATTGGACTCTCACATGGCCAACCACAGTGCGAGTCCTGGACCCGGTGGCTTAAAAATAATGCCGGGTGTGTGTACATGCATGCTCAAAATCCTGAGAAGAGGGTGGAGGAGAAGAGATTGCAATGTGTCCATCCTGCCGAGGGGTGATTTCTTACTTTCTGTCTCTGTCTCTCTTCAGTGAGTTCATGTGCCCTTTGTCAAAAACCTAAAAAAAAAAGGATAGAATTCATATATTCAGAAGATAGGTAATACTTGTAACCGTTGACTTCAAGCGTAAGCAGATCGATTGTGTTAAGAGTAGCCCAGGATTTGATGTATAAAAATGTTATAATTTATAAATGATAAAGGATTTGATATTATGTACAAGAAAAAAAACCTGGATATAGAAAAAATTATTGAAAAGAAATACACCAAAATGTAATAGTGGTTGCTGTAAGGTAATGAAAGTGGTTTTTTCTTGGAACACATATATAATTAAGCATATATATTTTTTATTATTGGTGAGAATTACTTGCTACATAGCTTTGAAATGTCTGATTACTAAATTCTACATAATAAGAATATTTTGCACTAGAAAACAAGTGATGGGACCAGCAAGTGGCATGTTGGTTAAGGGTGCTGGACTCCCACATGGCCAACCGCAGTTTGAGTCCTGGACCTGGCAGCTTGCTTTCTCACATTTTTTCTCTCTCTCTCTGTCCCTCTCTGGTCAAATTAAAAATAAACAAAGTACCAGTAGTTAGTGTAATAGCTATGTTGCTGGACTCCCATGTAGTTGACCACTGGGACCCAATGGCTTAAGCTTACGCTGGGCGCGTGTGCGTGCGTGCCCAAGATCCTGAGAGGAGAATGTGGCCAACCCCCCTGGGGGGGGTGATTTCTCCCTTTCACTTTATCTCTCTCCATCTTTCTGTCAAGTGCACGCACCATACGTATAGCAAAAAAACTCTCATAAAAAAAAGCAAATAATTAAATAACGTTAAATAAAATAATTATTAGAAGAAAATTTTTAAAAACCAAGTGATAACTGAAAACATCCACGTATTATATGAGGATTTATTTTTTAAGAGTGGTTTTTGCTATAGGGCACATACGCTCACTGGCGAGATAAGAGAGAGACAGAAGAGAGAAAACACCCCTCAGAGGGGATGGCCACTCTGCAATCCCTTCTCCTCCAGTCTCTTCTCAGGATTTTGGACACGTATGCACAGGTGCCCAGTGTGAGGTTTTTAAGCTGCCAGATCCAGGACTTGAGCCATAGTCGACTACATGGGAGTCCAGTGTCAACCATTATGCTATCTGCTGATTCCTTGAGGATTGTTTTTATTTATTTATTTATTAGATTTTTTAAAGAATTATTTACTTATTTTAATTTCATTTGTTATTATTAATTTTTAACTTGACTAGAAAGAGAGAGAAAGGAAAAGTGAAAAGCAAGCTGCAAGGTCTGGGACTCGAAGCATGGTCTGCCATGTGGGAGTCCAGTGCCTTTAACCACCACACCACCTGCCAGCCCCTTGAGGGTTGTTTTTAAAATAAGTTTTTACAGGGACCAGCAGTTAGCGTAATGGCTAGATTGCTGGACTCCCACGTAGTCAACCACGGTTCGAGTCCCAGACCTAGCGGCTTAAACTCACGCTGGGCGCATGTGCATGCATGCCCAAGATCCCAAGAGGAGAATGGAGGAGAAGGGATTGCGGCGTGACCATCCCTCCTGGGGGGTGATTTCTCGCTTTCTGTCTCTATGTCTCTCTCTGTCTGTCTGGCGAGCGCACACGACTTATAGCAAAAACCTCTCCAAAACAAATAAATAAATAAGTTTTTACAGTGTGTTACTTAAGCATTAGTTCCATTTTCAGTAATATTTAAAATCTTCCTGTTAGTCATATCACTTCAAAATATATATCATGAATTTTATGTTGACTTTTCACTTTTATAGGGCCAGGAAAATTCTTTATGTTGGGCTGCTTTAGACAAAAGTGAAGGTGAAGTGGTGACTTCTAAGGGTGAGTACAAAGTATGTTTTGTGTTGGTGTGGGCACTAGAGGACATGTGTGCTTGCCAGAGAGAGAGAGAGATCTAGAAGGATAGGAGAAAGCACTGCTCATGGGGCATGGTCATACTGCAGTCCCTTCTTCTCTCCCTCGTTTTGGAATTTGGAGCATGCACACACACACATGCCCAGCATATTTCTCAAGTTGCTGGGTCTGGGCCTCGGCCTCAAACCACACAGTCAGCCATGTGGAATCAAGCTGCCTTAACTACCAGCCAAGGAGCTAGCCCCAAACTATGTATTTTGATGTTAATATTTCAGTGGAATAATTACTAATACTTTTTCTTCATTAGTATTAATGCAATAATATGGGGTAGAACAGATTTTTTATGATGGTTTATAAATGTCAACTTTGATATGCATTTATCAAAGCATTTATCATAGGATGTTCATAATTGTCTATCACTGTGTTTCTGGCTTTTTTCCTAGATAATTTAGAAGATGAGGCTGAAGATGATGACCTATTTGAAACTGAATTTAGACAATATAAGAGAACATACTACATGACGAAGATGGGGGTTGACATAGTATCTGAGTACGTTTCTGCCAATGCTTTTACTTTAAAGTGGAAAAAGTTAGGTTATGTAATTATTTAGAACACAGCATAATTTTGATAAAGTAGTGGGAGAGAAATATTTTTGTCTCATAAATTATTGTTGTAGCTCTTTCTTTTTTTTTTTTTGTTTTTTTTTTGGAGAGTTTTTTGCTATAGGGCTCGCTCACTCGCGAGAAAGACACAGAAAGCGAGAAATCGCTCCCTGGGAGGAATGGCCATGCCGCAATCCTTTCTCTTCCATTCTCCTCTCAGGATCTTGGGCACCCCACACACATGTGCTCAACATGAGTTTAAGCCACTGGATTCAGGACTCAAGCCACGGTCGACTACGTGGGAGTCCAGTGACGTAGCCATTCCGCCGTCTGCTGGTCCCTGTAGCTCTTTCAACTACTATGGCTTTAGAGAAAATGATATTCCTGTTTTAAAGATGTGTTATATTCCTATGATAAAAATTGCCAAATAAAAAATTATCTTTATACACCAGGATATTTATTATAGTTATTTGTAATGGTAAAAATATTAGAATCTAAATTTTCAGTAAGAAAATTTATCACAGTTGGATGATGAGTCCATACAAGCATCATCCCTGTTCCTCCACAGTCTCCAGAATCTACAAAACTACTAAATTAGGACTTGCAGAAAGTTTCTAACAATTTAGAAAGATGCTCATATTATATTAAATATCATTTTTCCCCAGTTTTTTTGCTATAGGGGTGCGCACTCTCGCTAGAGAGGAGAGGAAACAGAGAGAGAAAGTGAAAAAGCAACCCCTGGGGGGGAAGGTCATACCATAATCCCTTCTCCATTCTCCTCTCAAGATTTTGGTTATACACATGTGCGCACCTACTACATTTTGTTTTGTTTTGTTTTGTTTTTAAAAATTATTTAATTTTATATATTCATTCTTTTTTTTTTTTTTTTTTTAATTTAACCAGAGTGAGACAGAGAGAGAGAGAAAGTGAGAAAGGAAGCTGCCAGGCCCAGGATTCAAACCATGGTTGGCCATGTGGGAGTGTCAAGCGCCTTAACCACCACACTACCTGCTTGTCCCTGCACCTACCATGTTTTTCAAGCCTCCAGGTACAGAACTTGAATTGTGCAGTCAGGCATATGGGATCCAGTGTCTTAGCCACCATCTATCTGTTGGCCCATTAAATATAAATTAAAAAAAAGGCAAGACACAAAAATCATACATACTATAGTTTGATTAATATGTTTTAAAAATAATAAACTCTAGATATAGAACAAAGCTTGAAAAGAAATATACCAGAATGTAATAGTAATTGCTATAAGGTGACAAAAGTGCTTTTTACTTCATTATCCCACTTTTCACAGCAGTGAAGCAGTATTTATTTTATTATAAAAAGGTAATATAGGTTAAGGCATACATCCCAGAAATAGGGAGGCATATTATTTTTAAGTGTCTTTTATTTTATTCATTTATTTATTTATTTGGTGATTTATTTTACCGAAATTTTAAATGATGGCACTGGTTTTTGAGAAAGAAGGGATTAGAGGAAATATTTTTCAGTAGATACAATACTTTTTTTTTTTTTTTTTGAGAGATTTTCACTGTAGGGCGCGTGCGCTTGCCAGACAGAGAGAGACATAGAGACAGAAAGCGAGAAATCACCCCCCAGGGGGGATGGTCACGCCGCAATCCCTTCTCCTCCATTCTTCTCTCGGGATCTTGGGCACGCACGCACACGCGCCCGGCGTGAGTTTTAAGCCACCGGGTCCAGGACACGAACCGCGGTCGACTACATGGGAGTCCAGTGACATAGCCATTATGCTAACTGCTGGTTCCCTAGATACAATACTTTTCAAATAGCCTTTTAACTACCTTAGCCAGATTTTAAGATTTTCCAATTTGGTCTTGTGCTTCCTTCAGATATTCTCCCAAAGAAGATTCCCATCCTACTGTCACTGTTTAAAAGAGTGGTAGTGCCACTTTATACAAAGTATTTCATTGACTAAATTCTCAAACTGAAAACCAAAGACATATTGTATTGAGTCAGTAAATATGCACAGCAGGTGTAACCATTTTGATAATTAGCTTAGGAAAGCCATAAGGCAAACCTTTCATTTGACAAGATGAAATTTTTCAAAGTAATATTTTAGAGTTCTTCTGATTATAATTTTTTACTAATTTATTGATTAAATAAGCCCTATGAGGTAAAATATGGTATCAACAGATGTCATGTTCTAAAAACTGGCCTGTGTTCAAAAAGTGATTTTGCAATGAGAATATTCCTTTTTATTTTCAGTGACTTTCTGGCTGATCAAGCTGCATGCTATGTTCAGGCAATACAGTGGATTTTACATTATTACTATCATGGAGTTCAGTCCTGGAGCTGGTAAGAGGATAAAAATTAAGCATTTTTTACTGTGATTCATTCTACTAGTATCTTATCCAGAGATGTCTTTTTTCCCTTATTTATTTTAATATTTTGTAAATGTTCATATAACCAAGTTTAAATGAAATGCTGGTACTCTCTCCTTAAATGAAAATACTTAGACTTTAACACAAATGCTTTGCTTCCAGCCCTTAACAGATGGCCAATAATAAAAGGTCTATTCATCTAAGGATTTAAAATTCTCTATTGAGGTGAATTAAGTGTTACAAAGTCTGGATAATTATTAGGTCTTAGGCGATGGTTATGTTGTGGGAGTGTTCTTTATATTCTCTCCACATTTTTTTTTTTTTTTGAAAAAAATCTCTATCAGGAATAATTACTGAAGAATGGACTCTTCATATGTTTGGCTGGAAAGGTAAAGAAGAAAGGAGAAAGGGATTATTTGCTTCTACTATAAATTCTAATGACTCCCCATTTCTTTCACATTTCCTATTTGTTTGTTTGTTTGTTTGTTTGCCAGAGGGTTGCATGATCACATTGAAGGGGGAAAGAGAGAGAAGGCACCCTCGTACGAGGAATGATCACACTGAAATCCTTTTCTCCTCTCTTTCCTTTTAGGATTTTGGGTTCATATGTGCACACACAACCAGCCTTTTTCTTCAAGCCTCCAGGTCTGGCACACAAGCCTCGAAGTCAGCCACATGAGATCCTTCGACCTTAACCACCATGCCACCTATTGGGCCTCATGTTTCTTATTTCCCCGTCTACATTTCCAAACCATCCACCAAAACAGAATAATAGCAAACTAAAAAATGATTTGGTGAAGGGCCAGTAAGTGTTGCAGAGGTTAAGGCAGCTGGATCTCATACGGCCAACTTTGTGGTTTAAGTCCTAGACCCAGTGGTTTGAAAATCACACCAGGCGCATTTGTGTGAGTGCCCAAAATCCTAGGATGAGAATGGTGAAAAAGAGATTGCAGTGTGGCCATCCCCTGGAAGGGTGATTTCTCACTTACCCTCTCTCTCTTTCTCTCTCTGCCTCTGTCTCTTTGTCTCTCTAGCGACCACACATGCTTTATTGCAAAAAAACTTAAAAAAAAGATTCAGTGAATAATACAGACTTTAAGGTGATGACATATGTTTTCTCTTTCCTCTTGAGCTGATTGGCATTTTTATCAGAATATTCAGAATATTCAACTGTTCCCAGACTCTTTATTGGAAAACCGAGGCCAAGGGACCAAACTGAAACTCGATTCTGACTACCTCACTCCTTATGTTTCAATCTATGGATTGGAAGATTCACAGTAAACACATTGGAAACTAAAAGAAGCATCACAGGGCCATCCCATGCCCTGATGGTTAGGGGAGCTGTTTCTCACGTGGCTGACTGTGTGGACTCGGTGCGTTTTTCAGGCCACATGTGCATGCATCCCATAGTCCCAACATGATGGAGAAATAGAGAAGGGATTGTGGTATGACCGTGCCCCAAGAGTAGTGCTTTTCCCCATTTCCTGCTCATCTGTCTGGCAAGCATGTGTGCCCTCTGGCAAATTAAAAGTAAATAAATAAAAGCATTATAATATTTCATTATATGTACCCTGCAATTTCCTGATATATCTCAATATGAGAAATGTGAACCTGCACTTTAAAAATTAAGGAAATAATAATGTTTGTTGCCATGCCATGACCTACATTTTTCAACAGTAACTAATTTCTTATATTCAAGTGGTAGAATTATGTTTGGTACTTTATTTTTCTTTAAAAGTATTATGTGTTATTAAAGTATCAGGAAAAATATATACTTGGTATTGACTTGTTTCAAAAAGCTGCCTATTTAGAATTCAGTTTCTCTTTTATAGGTTTTATCCCTATCATTATGCACCTTTCCTATCTGATATCCGCAACATTAGTACCCTTGAAATCCATTTTGAACTCGGTAAACCTTTCAAGCCATTCGAGCAGCTTCTTGCTGTACTTCCAGCAGCTAGTAAAAATTTACTTCCTACATGCTACCAGGTGAGTTTTGGAATTGAATTATTTTCTTTTTTTTTTTTTTTTTTTTTTTAGTATTTAGGATCTTCTACAAACATAGATAAAGTAGTACCCAAATTTATTTAGTATATAATTATATTTATTTTCAGTTTTAAATGGACTATTTCTCTAACAAGTTCCTTGAAAAGTGTTTCCTTGATTTAAAGTTAGCTTTGCTTTAAAAGCACAAACTCCATAAACATTCAGACTTCTTCATTTTTAGCAACTTTACATACATCTTTAATTTGTCTCTAAACTGAAGAAAGTAAACTAGGCAAAAATCTGAAACTATTTATTTTGTCCAAACATTTACAGATTTGTCTCTGTTATCTTTTACACTCTACCCATCATAAAGGGGATAGGTCTAAGTCATTTATCTCAATAGTGGTGTTACCTGAGTGTATATTTGGGTTTTGAGCATTTTATTTATCAAATTGTGAAATGAAAGGCTTTGGTTTAATAAATGTATATCACATAACAGGAGGAAGAAATATTAGGAGTAATAGAGTCAAAACTATAAAGTCTACTAAGCTGTTTCTAAAGATAGCATTCATTTAGTTCTTCTAGAGTGTCAGTCTATATTTAAGTTCCATGGTCTGGTCCTAGGAACTGGAATACACACAAACACACACACCCACTGCAGCTTTAACAGTGTCTGACTCTCCTGCATCTTTCTAAACCTCCGTCTGCCCTCAGTCCTGGCTCCTGGCTTCCCTTTCTTAATAAGTTTCTTTGATGACTATTTTTCCGCCTTCAGATACATTAACTTTTGATATTTTACCACATGGATCAGTATGACTATGTGAATATTTTATGACCATATCTGTTTCAATTGCTCAGTGCCCATGCCATAGCAGTTATTAAATATTTTGAGTACCACCTGGGGAATATACTGTTTTATTTTCTTGTAAAAATATCTACATCATAATCTTCCATATTCATTTTCTCAAAAAGATCTTTATTTGGGCCAGCCCATGGCCTGGTGATTAAGGTAACTGGATCCCACGTGGCTAACCCTGGGATTCTAGTTCCAGGAGCTTGTGTTTTTCAAGCACATCAGATGTGTTTCCATGCCCAAAATCCCAACAAGAGGAAGAGATGGAGAAGGGATTGTGGCATGGCATAACCATAGCCATGCCACAATGAGTGCTTTCTCACTTCTTTTCTCTCTGTCTCTGACTCTGTCTCTCTCTGGCATGTGCACATGCCCTCTGGCAAATTAAAAAAAGAACAGAAAACATCCTGATTCTTTCTGTGTTTACCTCTGTTATAAAACCTCTAATAAACACATGTATTATTAGACTATTTCTCTTTGATGTTAGTGGTAAAGTGTTTCTTGAATTTTAGATTTTTTTTATTTTTGAACTATCTTATATAACAATCGTTATATTATTTAATAGAATAAGTTGATTGGAGTATGAAGGTAAATTGTTAATTTGATGTTAAAAATGAAGTAGTTTTTGAAGCCTGTGAAGTTCAAATAGGAAAACAGAATTTAGCTAGGTTTGGTAGAATGAAAAGACAATTAAAATTAAGATGACAAAATTAAAGTTCAGAGTAAAGATGGTTTTGCTACATAACTAAGTCAGTCAAACAGGAAAGTGATAAGTAGTAGTGAATATGGAATTATTACCGTTGAAAATCAAAGTATGCCAAGTGTATTGTAACATAACTAAGACTTGTGCTTAGACATTTTAAACTGAAGTATGTGACAATTATAAAAACATTAACCAAAAACTATATTGATGTTCTTATATTTCTATTATACTATTTTATATTTTCACAGCACTTGATGACCAGTGAAGACTCACCAATTATAGAATATTATCCACCTGATTTTAAAACTGACCTAAATGGTAAACAACAAGAATGGGAAGCTGTGGTTTTAATACCTTTTATTGATGAGGTCAGTGCATGTAATAATTATATATACACATACATTCCTAATAAACAATGGGTTTTAATCACCTTTTATGTTTCATTAATAAAATGTAGCTAATATCTTCCAGATGTTCATCAAAATTTAGTATGCTAATTGTAATAAGGCTGGAGTGGCTCTTACTAGTACCTGACAAAGTAGACTTTAGAAACAAGAGAATTACCTGAGATAAAGAGGCATAATTCATACTGATAAAAGAGTCAAGTTATTTCATCAAGAAGACATAAAAATCCTGAATGTATATGAACTTAATAACAGAGCTTCAAACACATGAAACAAAAACTATCAGAATTGAAAGGAGACATAGACAAATCCACAGTTATAGTTGGAAATTTCAACAGTTTTCTCTGAGGAATCAATAGTACAAGGAGATATAAATTAATAAAAGTTGAGAAGACTTAAATACAGTTATAAACTGGGCCAACCAGGTGGCATGGTAATTAAAACAGCTGGATTCCTCTATGGCCAACTGTGTGGTTCGAGCCCTGGATGCAGCAGCTTGAAGAATATACCAGGTGCATGTGCATGCATTCCCCCAAATCCTAAGAGAATGGAGGAGAAGGGATTGTGGTGTGACTGTCCCCACTGGGGTTTGATTTCTCACTTTCCACTTCTCTCTGTGGAAAATGAGAGATAGAAAGGGAGAAATCATCCCCTCAGGGGGGATGGCCATGCCACAATCCCTTCTCCTCCTTCCTCTTCTCAGCAACATAAACAGTATGCCATCTGCTGGTCCCGAGCCATAAAATATTTCTTAATCTTTTTCATTGAAATTTTCCTCTAGTTTTAAACAATAAGTAATTCATGACCATGTTTGTGCTAATTGTGCCAATGAAGAGCACTACAGGCAGAGTAACTGAAAAAGTAGCTTCAAGCTCTAGGATGGGCCCCTCACCCTATAAAATAAGGATGTGTAATGGCAGAAGGATGTGCTGGCACAAAACAACAATATTATAATCACATGTAGACAATAAATAAGGCTGTGCCTGCTAACAGCAACAAGAAACTGTATAATGTTCTCTGACCACATAGAATTAGGATAGAAGTTAGTTACAAAAATCTGGAAAATCCCCCAATAAAAAAAAATAATAATAATAACAACACACTTCTAAATAACCCATGGACAAAAGACAAAATTAAAAGATAAATTATAGACCATTTAAAGTGGCTGGATCAGACATGGCAGTTTGAGTCCTGGACCTGGCAGCTTGAAAAACACTCCAGATGTGCATGCATGCATGCATGCCCAAAATCCCTAGAAGAGTAGAGAAGAAGGGATTATAGCATGGTTAACCCCCTCAACAATAGTTCTCACTTTCTTTCTCCCTCTCCCCATCTCCATCTCTCTACGGCAAGTGTATACACCTGCCGGAAGCCCTGCTCCAGCCAGGGTGGGTTGAGACTCATACACAGGAAGGCGACGTGGGTGAACAAAATTAGGCTGAAACCTCAGTGCTCCTTAGCATGTTCTCAGCTGGGTACAGCCAGAGCAAGCTCAGGACTGCAGCATTAGCGGCTACCAAACACACATATTTATTGAGGGATGTCTTACAGGAGTAGGAGAAGTGAGGGGGAAATAAAAGATTTACTCTACGAAACAGGGAATTCAAGGCACAGGAACAATGATCATAAAACATGATGTCTGTCTTGTTTGATTAGGTATAATCAATTACAGTTCTCAGGATGAAGGAGTCTATTTGTCTGGTGCATTTTCTTCTTAAATCTTGATTACCGGACAGGGCCTTTTCAGATGAGAGGGTCTTGTAGCTCAGGAGACAACACAGGATGTTTTATTAGCAGTTTTTCATAGTTAACAGCACACAGGGGAGAAACTGTAGTTAGGTACTATCTGTTGCTTGCCCGAACCAGTTAAGAACTTCCAGCTAAGATAGTTACTCTTCCCCCTAGAGCCTTCAGGTTTATTTATCCTGTCACTGTTAGTCAGATCTGTCCTTCCTCTATTAACCCACGGGTCCCTGTATTTATTTGTTGAATTCTTTGTCTGTTAATCAGTGAATTCTTGTGCTTTATCTTTAAGCAGTTTCATCCCAGCCCAGGCCTTGCCTTAGGCATGGGAGGCAGCCTCTTTACCAGCTTGTGTTGTCTGCATGGTCCCGTCATACACCCTATAGCAATTTTAAAAAATAAATAGAAAGATAAATTACTAAATACATACGTTTGAATAATAGTGAAAGTAGAATATATCACGTTTGTTGCAACTTAAGCAGTACTTAAAAGGAAATATAAGGTGTATACTAAAAAAAAATGTAAAATATATTATCAGGACTTCTGCCTTGAGAAATTAAAAAGATAATTAAACCAAACTGAGCAGAATAAAAGAGATAATAAATATAGGAGAATAAATCCATGGAAAATGAACAAATGAGGGAAAAAAGTGATGAAACCAAAAGTTGATTATTTGAAAAGATTAATAAAATTGATAAAATAACTAATGTAGAAAAAGGGAAATTAGTGATTTTTTTTCTTCAATATAAATGGTTAAAGGTTTTATTAGTAGTGTGTTCGTTTGTGATGATGTGGATTTTGTCTGTGTGTGTATATGTGTAAGTAGTTTAGTCTATATTTAAACATTTGCTTATTTGTTATACTTTTCTTTAATTATTACCTTTCTTTCATAATATTAATAGCCTCTTTATATCCTACTGTAGTCATAGAAACATAAATAACTGGCCAACAAATGGCATGGTGGTTAAAGCATTAGACTTCCACATGGCAGACCACTGTTTAAGTCCCAGGTCTGGCATCTTGCTCCCGCCACCCCTCTTGCTCTCGCTCTCTCTCTCTGTCTTTTCATGATGAGCACACATGCCCTATAGCAAAATCAAAAAAAAAGGAAATATAAATAACTACATCCATATAAAGCTTTTAGTTTTTCTATTTTTTTAGTGGAATATACAGATATTATTCTAGAACTTTTTCTCTCTTAACAATAAAAATATCATGGACAGGGGCCAGCAGATTGTGTGGTGGTTAAGGTGCTGGAATCCCAGACCTGGTAGCTTGCTTTCTCACTTTCTCTCTCTCTCTCTCTCTCTCTGATCAAATTGAAAAATGATAATGATGGGGCCAGCAGGTGGTGTGGTTAAGGGTGCTGGACTCCCACATAGCCAACCGTGGTTCAAGTCCTGGACCTGGTGGCTTACTTTCTCACCTTCCTTCTCTGTCTCTCTCACTCTCACTCTCACTCTGTCCCTCTCTGGTCAAATTAAAATAAAAATAAATAAATAGATAAATAAATGAAATAAAGTTCAATTAAATAATCCTTTAAAAGATATAAGGACATTGCTCAAAGTCAGTAGATAGAAATCTAACTTATTCTTTAATAGCAGCATAATATTTTATAAAATAAATGTACCACAATTTTTATTCAAACGTTACCCTGGTGAATGTTCAGGCTACGTCATGTTTTTGCCATTGTATACAATGCTGTGGTAAAAGTGCTTCTGTATTCATGTATTTTTTATGTTTGTTTATTCACATATTCTTATATACTAGAACTTTTATTCTTAAAAGATAGTTTTCCAAAATAGGATTCTATGGTTCTCATTTATATGTACTAATATTTTTACTTTGAATGAATATTACCAGATTATTTTTCAAAAAAATTGTTCTAATTTGCACCATCAATCTTTTTTGCATTTTTTCTTTTTATTTCTATTTCTTTTATACATTCAGTCATGTAACTTAACTTACAAAGTGAATATTCCAACGTGTGTACATCTCACCAGTCCAGTTCACCATACTAGAAAGTTACCTTCAATAGATAATAATCCATTTCTTTGTCTCATAAATGCCTTGCCTCTATTTTTCTCCTTAATGTCCTTCCTCAGATTCTGCTCTTTCACCACCATCAGCATTTAAGTGACCACTTACCTGCTTCTTCTCCAATGCTGAATATTATTGTTCTATTTAATGTTGGCCAATCGATGAGTGCCATTTTATTCAAACTTGCTTCCCATACCCTTAATTTGAGTAGATTTCCCCCCAGATTTATTGAGGAATACCTGATAAATATAAATTATATGTATTTAAGGTATAACACATGATATTTTGGTATATGGATTCATTTGCTTATCATTAAAAAGCTAATTAGCATATGAAACATCTCAGATTCCTGTTTGTTTTTTTAAGAATTATTTTATTTTAATTTTATTTATTATTATTATCATTATTATTTTCCAGTTTGATCAGAGAGAGACAGAGAGAGAGAGAGAGAGAGAGAGGAAGTGAGAAAGCAAGCCACCAGGTCTGATACTTGAACCGTGGTCGGCCGTGTGGGAGTCCAGCGCCTTTAACCACCATGCCACTTGCCTGCCCCAGAGTCCTGTATTTTAATACTTGTGTGGTGAGAACTCATAAGTTCTTCTCTTTACAAATAATGACTGTGCAGTACAATATTATTAGCTATAGTCACTACTCTGTACATTAACCTCCAGTACATATTCATCCATCCTACATAACTGAAACTTTACACCCTTTGACTGGCATCTCCAATTCCCTGGCTCATCCAGCCCCCAATTTATATTTCTACCAACAGTGTAAAGGGCTTTTCTTTTCTCTGTATCCTCATGAATACTTATCTTTCATTTTGATGATAACCATTCTAACAGGTGGGAGTTGGTGCCTGATTATGATTTTAATTGGCATTTCTCTGGTGACTAGTAACTGAACTTTTTTTTATATATTCTTTGTCCATTGGATGTCTTTTTTTTTTTTTTTTTTTTTTTTTAACCTTTTTGCTCAGCCTAGCTTTGAACCCATAATCCTCAGCCTCCCATGTAGGTGGTATTACAGGCAGATAGCACTGTACCCATCTCGTATATCTTCTCTTGAGAAATGTCTATTAAAGTGCTTGACCCATCTTTTTTTTTTCCCTACTTTTGCCAGAAGAGTGCATGGGCTGGCTAGAGAAAGATAAGGAGAGAGAGAAAGCAACCCCTATGGGA